TCCTTCCTTCCTTCCTTCCTTCCTTCCTTCCTTCCTTCCTTCCTTCCCTCCTTTCTTTCTTTCTCTCTCTCTCTCTCTTTCTTTCTTTCTTTCTTTCTTTCTTTCTTTCTTTCTTTCTTTCTTTCTTTCTTTCTTTCTTTCTTTCTTTCTTTCTTTCTTTCTTCCCTTCCTTCCTTCCTTCCTTCCTTCCTTCCTTCCTTCCTTCCTTCCTTCCTTCCTTCCTTCCTTCCATTTTTATTTTTGTTGTTGTTGGGGGCACGGAGTCTTGCTCTGTCACTTGGGAGGCTGGAGTGCAGTGTCGTGATCTCAGCTCACTGCAACCTCTGCCTCCTGGATTCAAGCGATTCTCCTACCTCAGCCTCCTGAGTAGCTGGGATTACAGACACACACCACCACGCCTGGATAATTTTTGTACTTTTAGTAGAGACAGAGTTTCGCCATGTTTACCTGACTGGTCTCAAACTCCTGACCTTAGGCGATCCACCCGCTTCAGCCTCCCAAAGTGCTGGGATTACAGGCGTGAGCCACCATGCCCGGTCAGCCCCTTGTATTCATTTTACCTATTAACTATTTAAAGACCACTGTTGCATGATTTCCCCATTTCCTGAAGTTCTGAGCTTCAGGACCATGATCCATTACATTACAACAGTGGTTTCCAACTTAGAGAAGGATGATTTATCAGAATAACCCAAAGAGCTTAATCTAATTGCAGTGATCCTCTTCTTTCCCAGATTTTGATATATCTCTGTAGTTCTAGGTGTGGAAAGGCTTGAGCATGAATATTTTATATAAACTCGACATATGATTAGTTCTAACATGGCAACTGATTGAAAACCTACTTCAGAAAAAGAACTGAAATCAGCAGTTAGTCTCTATACCCTCTGATACTTAAAAAGTTCCTGCCTCTTAAAGTAGGTGTCAGTGACTACATTCTCAGGCAAAGAAAGATCTGGGTCCCACATGTGTGATAGTAGGAAGTAAATACTTTTATTGTTACCAAAGATTCAAGTTGACTTTAATTATTCCTCTGCAGAAAAGGATTTAACTAAATGCCTAAAGTTTAGTTTACTCTACCAAGGAAAAAATCTTCTAGAAATAATGCTGCTTCTTGGCTGGATGCTTCTTGGATTACATGCCTGTAATCCCAACACTTTGGGAGGCCGAGGCTGGCGGATCACTTGAGGTCAGGAGTTCGAGACCAGCCTGGCCAACATGATAAAACCCTGTCTCTACTAAAAACACAAAAATTAGCTGGGCATGGTAGCAGGTGCCTGTAATCCCAGCTCCTCCTGAGTAGGGGAGGAGGAGGCAGGAGAAACGCTAGAACCCAGGAGGCGTAAGTTGCAGGAAGGCGAGATCATACCACTGCACCCCAGCCTGGGCGACAGAGTGAGACTCCAAAAAAAAGAAATAAATAATACTGCTTCTTAAATTTCCATTATAAACCAAATTCCACTTTTGTTTACCCATTTCTCAGAATAGTTTTGTGCAATAAATAACATCATAACCTACTTGAAGTACAGAAAATGTAAGTGACGAAAGTCAGGGCCTAACCTTGCTTCATTTCCTTCTTATACTTTCTGGTGTGCCTTAACCTTTATCCCATATAAAATTCAGTTATAGAGGAAAAGGTCAGATTTGTTTCATTAGATACTTTCTTTAACTTTCTATTTGTCAGTAAATAAACTTTGAATACAAATGAAAAACTTTTTGTTTCAGGGAAAAGACTTTTGTTTTGACACCAGAACTTAGTCCTGGGAAACTTCAGATCTTACCTTTTGAGAAAGCCTCAGTATGTCATTATCATGGAATTGAGTAAGTTTTTAATTTGTACTTTACTCTTCTGTATGTTGTTGATACAGTCTGTCTTGTGTGAAGAGTGACTTTAATAAAATGATATAAATTGAGACAGAGACCAAGAGGATATGTCAAAAACCTCAAAAAGCAAAGCAGTGCATATAAAAATAATTTGTCCTCTGTTGAAGAAGTTCCTTGATGATTAATAAGCTTAACAGCATTTAAGCATCTTGTTATTAGCTACTAGATATTTTAATCAAAATTGTTTTGGTTCCTATGTTATAAATGTATATTCACACTATGGGTCACATTAATATTTTCTGGTCACCAATTACATTATAGTTGCTCAGAAATTGTTAGATAGGGCCCAGCATTTCAATACTAGACATTTTTCCAAGAGAAAACTTATACAAGTATGCATGTAATAGTTTAATTCTCAATATCCTCAAACTGGAAAGAGCCTAGGAGGATATCAACAGGAAAATAGATAAACTGTGGTATATTTATATAAAGCAATACTATTCAACTATAACAAGGAACGAAATATCGATACATCCAACAACATTAAATATCTGTCTGTGTGAAAAATAATTGAAATAAGAATTTGAGTCCAGGCACGGTGGCTAACATCTGTAATCCCAACATTCTGAGAAGCCGAGGCAGGTGGATTGCTTGAGCCCAGGAGTTTGAGACCAGTCTGGGCAACATGGTGAAACCTTGTCTCTACAAAAAAATACAAAAATTAGCTGGGCATAGTGGGGTGTGTGTGTGCCTGTAGTCCTAGCTACTCAGGATGCTGAGGCAGGAGGATCAATTGATTTTGGGAGATTGAGGCTGCAGTGAGCCATGACCATGCCACTGCACTCCAGCCGGGTGACAGAATGAGACCCTGTCTCAGAAAAAAAAAAAAAAAAAAAAAAGATTTTGAAGACTTTGAAATTAGCAATATGAAGTATAACATTCAATAATGAATTATTTCTAAAAGAAGTCCTGTATGAAATGCTGATTTGAATCTAAATGGTAAGATAAGATTTTTAAATTGTTTTGTGAACAGATAGGCAACTCAGAGATAACTACTAAATTATAAAAAGATAAGAAATGCCACCTGATCTGTCTTTTTAGTTCTGATATTTGACTAAAAGATTCCTTGTTTGAGAGGATTACTGTTCTCCCTTTAACATGAAAAAGGTAGGGATGTTTCCCAAATAGCCTTAAATTTAGCTTAAGCTTTTACTTAAACTATGTTTTTAGCCATATATCCTTCTGTGCTTTGATTACACAATTTTACTTTTCTTTTTTCTTTTTCAGACAGAATCTCACTTTTTCGCCCAGGCTGGAGTACAGTGGCACAATCTTAGCTCACTGCAACCTCCGTTTCCTGGGTTCAAGTGATTCTCATGCCTCAGCCTCCCGAGTAACTGGGATTACAGGCATGCACCACCATGCCTGGCTAATTTTCATATTTTTAGTAGAGACAAGATTTAGCCATGTTGGCTAGGTGGTCTTGAACTCCTAGCCTCAAGTAATCCACCTGCCTTGGCCCTAGAAAGTGCTGAGATTACGGGCTTGAGCCACCACACCTGGCCCAAAATTTTACTTTTCATTTATACTAAGTTTATTAAATGTAAGTGGGAACATCTTGTTCTACTACATAAACATTTGATTAATAGGATATATTTTTCTGTGTTCCTCCTTTTGATTTTATTAAAGACCTAGAAATTAAACATTACAGAAAAGTTCATAAGGAAAACCAACAATTCCTTTTCTTATTACTACCTACCTGCAGTCCCAGTTTTTAGAAAAAAAAATATTTTATTTGTTTGGTTTAGTTTCCCTGGTTGTTATCTCTCATTTTAAAAAATATCCTTATGTCAATATTTTTAACTGTCACAATATAAAATATTGACTCTACTATGAAGATTTGGTTCTTCTCAATTTGAGCTCTCCGCTATTTACTTTCATGTTTTTAAATATATATATACTTAAACTTCTCCTTCTTATTCCATCAGCTATACAGCAGTATCTCCCCCACTTTGATAAGAATATTAGGACCTCCTAATCTATGAAAGGAAACTAATTAAAAATTTTAGTCGTTTTGTATTTAATTTGAATGTGAAAGTTGAAACCAGTCAACAGTGTTTATATTATTATGAAAAATAGTGTTCACTGTTGAGAAAATGTACTAGTATTAACATTCGCTTTGCTACATGGCCAGAATACCCCAGGACACATCTGTTTTTCACTTCTTCGGCCCTATACACACACTAAAGCACTGATTTGAATAAAATAAGCTACAATAATTACATTTTAACTGCTGACTAAAGTGTCCATCATATAATCTTATTTAGATTATTTTTCCTAAAATTTTAATTTAGTTTTGTTTATTCTGCATCTCCATCTCTCTACTCTTTTTTTCCTGCTGTTTTTAATTTACTATAGAAAAAGTCTTGATATATACAAATTTATAAAATTTTTCAAGGGTATGTTCTTCATGATCATTTATCAAAATGTTAAATTAAGACTTATTTGAGTACTGTGCCCTGATGGGCTTAAATCTACTCAGAGCTTTATTAACTTATACAATGTTCTGAAATTCTGATTCACTGTAAAAAGTAATTCTCTTCTCCACTACCTACCTACTCCCATAAACAAACAAATCTATCTGTGACTCACTTTTTTTTTACTGTAAATTTATGCTCATTAAACTGGGGACATTGAGACTAGGCTGACAAAGTTGTAGGAGGTGAGGACCATGAATTCCGAAACATGTCTTTTTCAAGAAGGTTTGGGTGTATAGTATGAGAGCCGATTTATGTTCAGCATAGATTATGGAGTAGAAACAAATTCAAGTAACATTTTAAAGTAAATATGAAACTACAAAGAAAGTTCTCTTATGTTGTTGTGGGCCTTTAAAACCCTGGAGCTCTTTCTCTGATACAAAGGAATATTTGGAAAAAATGTGTTAATTGCATGGGAGCAAAACAGTGTTTTTTAAGGCAAAATAAAATATTAACCACTGTTGGCTTGTTTGTTTTTTCACTTATTTACCCTATCCTGGAATTTAAGATTCCATTAATTATAAAATGCACTGTTTTATTGAACAGCAAATTAAACTCTGCTGTCATACTCTGACAATCATTTGATCATACCAGGCTCTCATTGCTTTGAAATTTCCTTCATCTATTCCAAGAGATTTGTCAGTTTCTCCTGCCTTCATTGGTATTGGTTAGTGTGTGATGGGCAGTATTTTGTCTATTTCTTATTTACAAAACAAAAACAGCTTCATCGTCTTATGGGTATTTTTCTTTGTTAGGACCCATAAAGCATTTGCTTATTGTTTTATAAGAAAATATGGGATTGTAGTCATTCATCCAACAATAAATTTTTACTTCACTAATATCAAATATACACCCTGCCTCCTGCCTCACTGTTTCTTTTCTCTAATTTACAAAGTAAATTTTTGTTCCAATGACAAATCATAGTATAATCTAAAGATATTTTAAATGGCAATTAACATCAAGATGTACAATGTGCATAATTCAGTTGAAGCCATGACATTATGAACAGCTGTGATCAAGAGATGTTAAAACTGGAAGAAAAAAAATCTGCATCTTAGAAATAAAATCTTAGGGTAGAAAGAAATATTCATCTTATAATCAAAATATGCATCTTTTCTCTCAAAAATTTTCTGTATTCAAGCTTATCAGGCATTATATTGCCTCTTACCAGACTCTTGAAATTCATGGTTCTAATTTTACTCTAGATTCTACCAATTACCCATGATAGAAGTAGGACTCATCAGTAACCCTTAGGGTTGCTTCTGATTTTTAATGAAATATGTTTCTTAAACAACAGACTAGAGAAAGAATATTAGCTAGAGAGATGCCAGAGACCTAGGTTCTACTCCCTGCTCTGCCACCAACTCACATTTGGATTTAGTTTAGTTTTGTCACCTGTTAAATTACACTGTTTGAGTAGATCAGAGATTTTTCAGTCCTAGTTATACTTTAGAATCATCTAGGTAGGATTTTTAAAAAGTGTGTATTTTTAATATTTTAATATAATAAGATGTTTTGATGTGTGTATGCATAGTGAAATGATCACTGTAGCCAAGCAAATTAACATAACTATCGTCTCACATACTTACCTCTTGTGTGCTGAGAGCACCCAAAGTCTGCTCTCTTAGCAAATTTTCAATATACAGTACATATGATTAACTATAGTCCTTATACTGTACACTAGATTTCTAGATTTATTCATCCTATATAACTCTGCAACTTTGTACCCTTTAATCTACATCTTTCCATAACCTTCCCCATCCCCATAACCACTGTTCTACTCTGTTTCTATGGATTTAAGTAGTTTTTTTAAGAATCACCCAGGCAGATTTTTAAAACTGTTGGTAACTGAGTATTACCCTAAACCAATTAAATCAGAAACAATGAGCACATGGTATTTCTTAAAAGCTCTTCAGATGGTTCTAATGCTCAGCCATGTGTTGAACATGAGTAAGGTGATTCTTACACTTTACATAGAGATAGTATACTAAAATGGCTAAAGTCAGGCTCTGAAGTCACCAACCTGGGTTTACATTCTGGCTGTGCTACATATTATCAGCATACTGCCAGCTTTACTGTGCTAGAAAATAAATCTAATGATGATGATAACAATAATAGTAGCATACATTTCTTGACTGCCTGCTTGCATGTTTCAGGCACTGATTCTAAGTGTTTATGTATACAATTCAAGGAATTATCACAATAGCTTTTTCAGATAAGTACTATAATTCTCATTTTGCAGATGAAGCAACAGAGTCATAGATAAAGTTAAGTAATTTAGCCAAGTTCACACAGCTAATAAATAGAGGAGCCTGGATTTAAATCCATGGAGTCTGTTGTGTCAAATATGTAAGTGTCACAAGGGAAAGATAAGGTTCTTAAAACCTCCATCAAACAGTCAGATGTTCAGGAAATGATACACTCTTTGGGAGTTGAACTAAAATCTTTTGGATACAAAAATCTGATTTTAGGCAGTATCTTAGACTTTTGCAGGTAAAAATGACAGAGCACAGAGAAAGGTTTTAATTTGTACAGTGCTGCCATCACATATGTGAAGCCATTTGTGTTTTTTAAATGCAGTTGTAGAAAGGGAAGAATGTGAAGAGTTTTCCAAGGTCACACAGCTCCTAGGTGATCTTCCTGATATCCTTGTTTGTTGTACTTAACAACCTAGGATTTCTTTGAGTCCAGAAGCATTCACTGAGCTAACATTTCATTGATGCCCTGAATCAGATTCAGCTAGAAACCACATGCACAGACAGCCGAAGTGTTTGAAGGAAAATCTGTCAATCAGTTAATAAGGTGGGAACTGAGTTTCAAAGAAAAAATTTGAAATGTTCTAAGCTGTTTGGTGAGCCTGTTTAGAATGCCTTTATACCCTTTTAATCTTTGTGTTGAGAATAAACTTGCCCTTTCTAACAGAAGACAGCAGTTCATGTTGTCATGTATCAGCCATGCTGAGACATCAGAGGTTGGTAGAGTTTTAAAAAGCATTAAAACAGCAACTGTATTATTTTGAAAATAAGCTGAAGGATTAACTTAATCTGTTGCCCAGAAACACCAGTGAAAGAGAAATCAGATTGTACTTCACATTTTTTAATCTTTTGCCATGTCATATAGCAAACTAGAAGAAAACTGAACTTGGGAGGGAAATAGGCCAGCCCGTCAACCTTCCAGCAATTATTAGGAAATTAGTCAAGAACTCTCAAAGTAAATGTCCTGCTATTCTCTAATTGAAAGTGGAAAGTCTGTTGCTCTTATGGAGGTTTACATTTTAATGCTCTTTCACTCATTTTAGGTATTGTTTGGACGACCGAAAAGCTTTGGAAAGAGATGGAGGATTTTCTGAACTTCAGTCTCGTCTTATTCGTTATGAAACTCAAACCACCTGCACCAGAGAAAGTTTTCCAGTACCTACTGTGTTGAGCCCTCTTCCATCTCCTGCAGTTTCGTCAGAACCTGGAAGTGTCCCTGACGGAGAAGTTTTACAAAATGAACTTCGAACCGAAGTATCCCGATTGAAACGGAGATCTAAAGATCTGAATTGTCTTTATCCCAGAAAAAGGTGTTATATTACAAGCACATAAATAGTATCTCAACACAAAGTATTTTAGTCTCTAGAGGATTTTTATTTTATATTAGTCTTTCAGATTAATTTCTTCATGGCAAGTTTATTTTATGAGCTGTTGATGATTTTGCTTATAAGTTATAAAAAATGATTCAGAAAAAAAACACAGTTTCTTGCTTTATGTGCTAATATACAGTCCATGAGCACAATGGATTGTAAAGCTTTTAAGCTGTGGAACAGTAGAGATTTCACCCCATAGATTAAGCTGCTGAGCTGGTCTGTTGAAGAGACTGTTTGGGGATGGGAGTTCTCCCATTAGCTCTTCCTTCCCTTCCCCTCAGATTCCTGCCTGCATTGTTCCCTTGAGCAAGAGATTCCATGAGGTACCATTTTTAAAACACCTGTTACATATAAAATATAGCTTTAAACTCTACATAATGATATAATATATGAAACTTTTCTGGATGCGTTTTTTTTGCTAACTAAATAAAATGTCCAGATACTTGAACAGAAGTTAGAAGTTTATGTAGTGAACACTAATTTCTATTGAATTGATGTTATTTTTAGAACCTTTGTCAAACTTAGGTTCTTGGCATCTAAAGCAAGGCTTGAATTCTTATTGTATTTAATTAAACCTTGCAAAAAGTATGAACTATATGAAAATATAACTTTCAGATCTTTTTTTGAATAGTTTAAAAAGTTAGAATACTATTACCCTGATATGGAAGAACTCAGTCGTTTTTATGAGGACTTTATAAATTCGTGGTACTTTTTATACCTGATAAAACTAAAGAGCAACAGTAACATTTGGGGTACTATATTTATAGCCGTATTTCTTATTTCTGACCTGTGGCTAATAAAAATATATGTGTTCTTAAAAGGAAAGTACACTGTGGCCTCTGGGTCAGCAGAACTGAGGGCTATAAGACCCTATCTTGTAAAGAGAAAAATTTGGGTCTTGTCGGGAACAAATGTAAACATTTTAGGAAGATTGAAGTATGAGCCAGTTTTATAGTTTATTTGTATTTGTTTTAACACTATTATTTTGCAAGGGAGTTCCATGGGTATAAGAAGATACAGGTTGTGGTGTTTCTGTTCAAATTATCTTAACAGAAAAGTATAAGTATTTAACAGATTAGTATTACATCTATAAATAGCAGCACTCTCGGCATGCATAGCTGATTTATTTGAGAAATTGTAAATTAGAGAATGAGAGAGAGTATAGCTAGCTAGCTAGATAGATAGATAGTTACTTATATTTACTTTCTCTATTAGCCAAAATCCTAGTTTGCTATTCATTACCTTCTATGTTTTAGTTACTCGTCTAAAGAACTAAGGAACAACTTTATAATGTGATGTTTATTGCTTACTTAAGGCAGTAATAGCAATAAACTTTGTTTGCTTTTCTTGAATTTATGTCATAATGGATATAGTGGTAACATTTAAGACAGAAAGTGAACTTCGATGTTGATTTGCTTAATCTACGTTCTTGATTTTTTTCTCCTACTGTAGACTTGTGAAATCTGAAAGTTCAGAGTCTCTTCTTTCTCAGACAAGTGGTAACAGTAATCACCATCATCATCATGTGACATCCAGAAAGCCACAAACAGAGCGGTCCTTACCAGTGACTTGTCCATTGGTTCCAGTTCCTAGCTGTGAAACTCCAAAACTTGCTATAAAGACCAGCTCAGGTCAAAAAAGTGTGCATGAATCAAAAACATCAAGGCAAATTAAGGAATCAAGATCACAGAAACACACACGGGTAAAGATTTATTTCCCATTTTTCTTAGTTCTACATGGGAAGTCTTTTTAAATTTGATTAAAATATATGTCTAAAAAAATTTATGAATGAAATGAAACGATGTCTAGAATTCACTGGTGTAAGAAGGATGATAGGAAAATAGGTGGGGATATAAATGAAACAAGATTAGCTACAGATTAATCATACTTGAAGCTGGTTAAAAGATATATCAAGATAGAAGTTTGTTATAAAATATTCTGTGTGTCAAATATTCTCTACTTTTCTATGCTTGAAATTTTCCGTAATAAAAAATAAATATAAGCTTACATATCCCTGCTGTGTGTAACTTTAACACTCAGATATCAATTCAGAACTCATGATTTGAGTTCGTTTCTTAAGACACTCTAGTCATTTCCTGCTAACGTTTTATTCCTGTGACACTTCTGACCATGTAAATGTTAGATATCTTTTTTTCTCATTTTGTCTTAATGAATATGTCTGTCTTTTAGCACAGCAAAATGATTGTGTAATTCACAGGATTGAACTCTAAAGCTGAAATAATAGGTTTGTTACTCTTCTAAGAAATATTAGTCATATGTTATGTTCTGTTCAAGATACTGAAAGAAGTCGTTACTGAAACCCTGAAGAAACACAGTATTAGCGAGACCCATGAATGTTTCACTGCATGCAGCCAGCGTCTCTTTGAAATCTCTAAGTTCTATCTAAAGGTACAGTGTCTTCTCTACTAATGGCAAAATTTGGTTCATGTTCTAATGTTCCTGTTTGACATAAAAAAAAAAGTTTGAGTATTTTTTATACTGAGAGCATATTCTTGCTGCCAGATTTATTAAATGATGGAGATAGAAAAAATGAAGCCAAAATACTTTATATTTGTTTTGATTTGAGTTCTCATATATAGAAAGCTACATTTTAACCAATATCCTGTTTCCCCTAACATGTGTTTGACTTATAGTTAATAAGCTTCAAAATATGTTTAATTATTAATTTTTTAATATAATTGGCCCTCCATATCTGTGGGTTCTATATCCATGTGTTCCATATCCATGGATTAACTGCAAATTGAAAATGTTCTGGAAAAAGAAAAGGATGTTGCATCTGTACTGAACATGTCCAGATTTTTTAAAATGTGTATGGGAAAATGTGTATAGGTTATATGCAAATGCTACACCATTTTATATAAGGGACTTGACTATCGGCAGATTTTGGTATTCTCAGTGGAATCATGGAATCAGTCCTTCGCAGAGACAAAAGGGATGACTGTGTAGTAAAAAGGCTACTGGACTAAATATCAAAACACTCAGTTTCCAATTTTGGATCCATTATCAGCTAGTTGTAAGACATTGGACACATCAACCACTCAGATGATGGTTTTCTAAAACTTAGACGATGTTAGATTATGTCCAGCCTTAAGAGTTTCTGACCTGAATCAGTTATCTGTGGGTTTCTGGTTAAAACTGCAGATTTATCACATATCCAAGAGAAAGGACAAGAAAAAACTAGAAATGTTTTTAATACATGTTGAACAATAACAAAAAAGCACATGGAAGTGTGGTGTAAGAAAGTGAAAAGAGTTACAATCTAATTGGGTCCCTAGTGGAATACTAGTGAGAAGCATGTTAATTCCACAGAACCTGAGGTGCTCATGATTTGAAGACACCAGGTATCATGGAAAGCAGGGGCAAGGGTCCACATAGAAAGCAAGGGAGTTAAATAAAGATCTATCTACAAAGTGACCTGGGGATTGTCCAACTTGCTCGGCATGCCCTTCTCCCACAATGTTAACTACAAGGTCTATCATGCATAGGCTTTTCCAGCCACCTCAGTGACAGTGCAGGAAATAGTCACTGGGGAAAATACTGGAAGCTGCAGTGGAAAAGCCAAATGGCCATCTTGTCACTCTACCTTGAAAAGAAACCAGTGACAATCTCTGCACAGAACTTCCAGTCAGATTTTTAGTGTCTCACTTTTAAATATGACTAGAGGACACTAGAAGCTGTCCTCTAAGGACAGCTTCCTTAGAGGCTTTGAGGAAAGCTTCTAACACAATTGATGCCAAAACATAAAGGAATAAAGGGAACTCTGAAGAAGCAGGAAGTTGAAGAAAACTTCATAAAAACTATAATTCTCATAGAAAGAAGGTAATCGCATCCATAAAACGAGAACAGGATGCTGTTTCCAAAAAAAGCATAAAACATGAAAGCTCTGTAAAATTAATAATATGATAAAATCAGTTAAATGGAAAGGCTGAACAGTTGAGATGAAAAAAAATTTACCGGAAATTAGAATCAAATGACAAAAACATTGAATCCAGGACAAGAAAATTGGACGATTAATACAGAAGATCCAAAATGCTAATAATATGAATTTTACATTTTTTGAACAATCTTCTCTACTTTATTCCCAAAGTTTAGAAGAGAGAAACTTGTTCAAAAATGTAACAAACTTTTCCAGGACTGGACACAAGCCTCCTAGCTTGTCCAAACCAGTGAATGAAAATTCTTCAGCGAGTCACATAATTGTGGAATTTCACACTTCTTAGCACGGAGAGAACATTTTCTAAAAGCTTGCCAGGAGATAATCTAGTTTATATATAGTGAATCAATAATCAGAATGGCATTGGACTTCTCCACAGTAACACTGTATGCTAGAGGATAGTAGAAAAGTATCTTCAAATTCTGAGGGATTTGTATTTCTAGAATTAAAAAAAGAAAAAAGAAAAGAAACTTCTGAGGGAAAGCGACTTACCTAGTATTCTATACCCAGTCTGGAATGCAGTCCGATATGAGGATTTAATGAAGATACACTGAAACATGGAATATCTGAAAAAGAATTTGTTTTACCCTTTTGAGGAATCTGCTAGACGATGAAGTTCAGCAGAACAAGGGACTAAATCACGAAACAAAACAAAAACTAATCTAAAATGGAAAAGACAAGTCCTAATAGTACCAGGCCTAGGCAGCAACTAGGACAAATTAGAGGAGGCTATGGGAGAAAGATCTCCAGGTTTAAAAGATTTAATTAAAAAGACCAAAAGCAGAAAGGAAGCTGAACTGAGAGATTATCCCGTATACTTCAGGGCTTGAAAAAACTTTGCTGTACATTTAGCCCATTTATTGCCAGTATTTAGGGACGAAAAATCCAGAATTATATACATGGAAAGCTGAGCAAATGAAAAAGCTAACAGTAGTTAACAGGATAAATAGAATATTGGAAGAAAGGTAAATTATAACCATAATACATTAATTAGCACACAATTGAAAGTATTTACATAGATACAATAGCGCAAACACTGCCTATTTACTAATCAAAAATTGCGATACAACTGTTCTTGAAAGGAAGAGTAGGAAGGTTTTGTGTACGAGACCTGAATCCATGACCGTTCTCCCTAACATCAGTAATCTCTGTCTAAAAGTGTTTAATCACCAAGTAGCAACATAAGCATAGTAGTTAGAAACATTAAGGTATAAGTAAGGGAAAAACCTGAAAGAATTGAAAGTGACTGCCTTTATGGAGCGTAACTTGGAAGTACAACAGATAACTGCTTCTTATCTTTTTAAATACAGTTCAGTTTCTTTTACTTTGCAATTTGATATAATCACTAAATTTTTAAAAGTGAGACATCAGTTTCCTTTTGTATGTCATTCTTCTTTATGATGGAGTCAAATAGCCAAAATGAAGAAAAAATATATTTTACCTGATAAATAAATACAAACCATATGTTTGTTTCTTGAGTAATGCAGCATTAGTGGATGCTCACGGTGGAGGGTGGGAGTGATTTTAGGTCCGCTCTATTGGGAATAGGAGATGAGAGTGAGATGAACTTACGTATATGTGTATGTATTTTGGTTGGAGTATTTTGATATTTCAGAATGGAACTAAATTATAACCTAGTACTTAGATTTTTTTTTTTTTTTGTAGTCTGTCCCTAATCACATTGATACTTGTAGAATGATTTAGGATAATCTCAAGTGTATTTAATAATAATGAGTTGTTCTTTGTAATTTAATGTGCATATTGTAAAATGCTGTATTTTATTATGTTTAGGATCTTAAAACTTCAAGGGGTCTATTTGAAGAAATGAAGAAAACAGCAAACAACAATGCTCTACAGGTAAAGTTATTCCCAAGAAGCTATATTCAATTAAATTGGTGTTTTATTTCAGGGTTGCTCTGATGCCGTTATATATGCAGCAATAATTAGTTACTGGTCTTTTTCAACTCTGTCCCTATGAAAACTCTTTAAGAAACTTAATAATAGGCTTATATAGGCTGAGTATTTTATAGTATTTAATAGGTTAGTCTGTCAACAAAAGAGTTTCCAAAGTGATGCTAAGAAAGCAAAAGAAAAAATAAATTATCTGACGTGCCGGAAAAACCAGTCCATTTTTGGTTAGCTATTTTCAAAGTTTAGTTTATTTGATTGATCATTTGAAACATATTTTCATATAAAGGTGAGAAAATGGAGCAGAATCTTCATTTCATCCAGTGAGGACAATATTATACTCAGTATTGGAAGTCCAACAAAAATGTTCTTCCATTACAAAATAAAATGTGTTTTTTAGTATAAGATTTCAGTATCTTCCTTTTTATTATAACTTTTCTACCATGTTCTTTTGAAGTTTTGACCGTGTATTTTTCTATTACTTGTGTTTTCAATAGAAATCTACTACAATCATATTTTTCTCCTCCTAGGTGATTGAATGGGTATTAGAAAAGACAAGCAAGAAGTGATACAGAATCATTCTCTTTAAGACAATTATAAATTGGATGGAGCTATTATTTACTACTTTTTTAAGTTTGAAAATTATAAACAAATTTTAAACTTTATTCAAAGAATAGATGTTATATTTCTAAAGATTTCATGAATATTCTATATTTGTATAGTTTTGGGGATGCTACATAAATGTATTTTTAATTAGATACATATTTTGTACAGTGTTACTATATTTTAATGTTAAAGTTATTTTTATATGTTTTAAAATGTTTACTCTTGGTTATTTAATTATTACAATAAACAATTTTTTTTTTTTTACTTTTTGGAATTCATGTCTTTGTTGTTAGGTGTACTAAGTTAGGCTGTGCATTTCTTAGATATAAGTAAGATACTGCCAATGGCTTTTCCCATGTGTTCCAACAACATAGTTTATTGGACTGCTCCCGATTTAGAGAGTATTGGCAAAAGAAATCCAAACAGGCCTCAGTCCTGGAGCCACCATTGTTGGGCTATTAATGTTTATTTGGTAACAAAAATTAAGAAACAAGATAAATTGTGAAAATAAGGCATAATGAAAATGACACTAAGTACAGTCTCCCAGGAAAAAAAGTATCTTTTCCCGTGGTAGAAAATTTGGAAAATGCAGAAAATACAAAGAAGAATGAAAAAAAATTACCGACATTCCCCCCTACTGTCTAAATATAACTGCTATATTTTAAAAATATATGTAATTATTTTTTAAATATTTTCAAAATTGGAATCATATAATATGTTGTTATGCGTATGTGTGTGTTGTGTGTGCATTAATTTATAACCTACTTTTCACATAATATGTTGTGAATTTATGTCATTTTTTTAATAACTGCCTAATGCAAATGAGCCACAGTTTGTTTAATCCCCCATTATTGGACGTAAAGATTCTGTTTTTCCCTGTAATACATAAAACTTTAATGAATCTTCCCAGTATGTCACTATTTTCCTAGTATGCTTTTTTAGGAGGGAAATTTGTGGATCTTAAGCTCTTTTGTAAATATTTTTAATTGCCCTCCTGAAAGACCAGTATGTGCTCCCACCAGCAGAGTCCCCATTTCCTTTTTTGAAAACTGAAAATAGTAAGGGTGAATTTTTTTTAAACATGTTGGCATCTCTCTAATTGTTTATATCTAGCTTTTGCCCATTTTTATTTTGAACTGTTTTTGACTTTTTCTTACTCATTTATATATGTTCTTATATATTAAGGATATTGGCCCTTTGTCTTTTTGTTTATAGTATTCTGAAATTTTTAGTTTTTAATGTAATCAAATCTGCCACCTTTATAGTTTCTTCCAAGTAAAGAAATTTGCTTATCACCTGCTTTGCTTGCCTATGTTGAATTCAAAGTGAATGCTTTCAAGAAGCATTTCTAGGGTTCCATGAAATTGCTGATTTGAAATGCTCCTTTTTGTCTGAATTGTTCACTATCATAGGAATTGCAAGAGTGAGCCAATATTCAAAGATTCTATTAGGTTAGCAAAATTGTCTTTTGAAATGTTGTACCATGGCTGGGCATAGTGACTCATACCTCTAATCCCAGCACTTTGGGAGGTTGAGGCAGGAGGATTGCTTGAGGCTAGGAGTTCAAGACCAGCCTGAGCAACATAGTGAGACCCTATCTCTAAAAAGAATAAATTAGCTGCACATGGTGGCACATACCTGTAGCTACTTAGGAGGGGTCTTAAGCTACTTAGGAGGCAGAAGTGGGAGGATTGCTCGATCCTAGAAAGTCGAGGCTACAGTGAGCCATGATTTCACCACTGTACTGCAGCCTGTGAGAAAGATCGAGACCCTATCTCAAAAGGAAAAAAAATGCTGTACCAATACACGTTTTTAAATATAAATTTATTTAGTCAGACTAATAAACATTTATAATATAAAAGGAGCCAGTAGGTTTTAAAGTACAACAGATTAGATCAGGCAATTTGAAAACATTCCTAGGAACACAGTAATAGTCATAGGAAAGAAAAACTCTCATAACCTCAATTTGCTGTTCTAAAAATGGGGTAAATAATGCTGACTTCACAGGGATCACGAAAAGATGATCATCATGGCTAACATTTGTTGAGCACTATGTGACAGACATTATCTTAATCATTTTACATTATCTCATTGCAGCCATATTAGGTAGCTATTTCCCATTTTATAGATAAGAAATTGAAGTATAGCAAGATTAAATGTCATATCCAGGATCACATAGCTCAGCAACTACAGAGCCAGAATGAGAACTTGTATTTCTTGAACCACACTGCTTATCCAAACATAGGATCTCTGCAAGTATTGGTGTATCCATTTTTTTGTTTTTATTCCTTTCTTCCAAGGATCCTGGTTTTCTGCCGTACTTAATAATATACATTAAAACAAGTTTGAAGATAACCTGTAAGCCCGATACCATTTAAAATATTTCTTTTTGTGAATATGCTGGATAAACTTTTGTAATGCTGTTTGAAATTTAGCATATGTAAATTATATCAGTTAACCTGATCAAAAGCAAAAGTATACATGAAAAAACTAAATTGATGTCACCACTTATCAAAAGGACATACGATAGCCAAATAACTTTGTAACAAAAGAACGAAGTTGGGAGACTTGTTTCTTTGCTTCAAGACTTACTATAAAGTTACAGTAATGAAGACAATTTGCTCTTGGAATTAGAATAAGCATATAGGTCAGTGGGACAGAATAAAAACTTACAGGTATGCCTATATATCAAACTTTTCATTGAAGGAAAAAAGGTCTTTTAAAAAATTGAACTTGAATAAGAATATCCAGCCATATGGAAAAATAAGTTACTTTCAACCGTAACCTCCTACCATTTGCAACTATTTATATGATATGGATCATAATTTTATATTTAAAGTCCAAAACCATAAAACCTATAGAAGAAAACATAGAAAAATCTTCATCACTCTTGGAATAAAACAAGGATTTATTTGAAAGGACACAAAAAGTACAAACCATAAAATTAAAAAAAATAAATTTTACTTCAAAATCTAAAAGCTGCTCTTGGAAAGGCACCACTAGGAGAGTGAAAATGTAACCCACAGGCTGGGAGAAATTATGTGCAATGCATATATCTGACAAAGGACTTTTATCTAGATGATGTGACGCACTCTTACAGCTTAACGATAAGACATAATTCAATTTTTTAAAAATGGGCAAAAGATTTGAAAAAAACATTTCACAAAACAGGACATAGGAATGGCAATAAGCACATGAAAAGATGCCCAACATCATCAGTCATCAAAGGAATGCAAATTAAAACCATAATAAGATGCCTCTAAACACCAACTAGAATGAATACAATTTTGAAACAGACTACACCATGTCTTGGCAACTATATGATGCATTTGGAAATCTCTTTTTATTTGTGGGTGGGGGTGGAAGAGGGTCTTGCTCTGTTGCCTAGGCTGGAGTGCAGTGGCAGGATCACAGCTCACTGGAGCCTTGACCTCCCTGGTTCAAACAATCCCAAGTAGCTTTCTGAGTAGCTGGGATTATAGGCAAGCACTGCCTTGCCTGGACTCACCCTTCCTTCCTTCCTTCCTTCCTTCCTTCCTTCCTTCCTTCCTTCCTTCCTTCCTTCCTTCCTTCCTTCCTTCTTTTTTTGTAGAGATGTGGTCTTGATATGTTGCCTAGGCTGGTCTTGAACTCCTGGCCTCAAGCAATCCTCCTGCCTCAGCCTCCCAAAGTACTGGGATTACAAACATTAACCACCTCAACCATTTGAGGCCATTTGTTTGGGAAACAGGGAGTCACTGGGCCCAAGTAGCTCAGATGTGTTACCTAGTGGTGATACATTTAGCAAACTGTTGCCTAAATAGCCCAGAAGAGGGCTATTTAGTCCATTCTACCTAATGGACTCATGGATCTAATTAAGGACATTTCCAGACAGTGTTGGAAGTATCAACGGCCATTTATTTGTTTAGCTGAATATGATAAGGTATAGGAAAAGATAAATGAATTCAAGAAATGTTCAGTTTTCTAGCAGAATTTAGAGAAGATATGAAGGGCTTAGGATATTCTGGATTGGAAAATAAAATGATTTTCCACTTTCAGTATCTCCAACGGCAAAAAATTTTCTAAGTCAGAAATAGCCTCAGAAAAAGAATCAATCCAAAGGTGTGGCTGTATAATCCTCTGTTGAGACATTTGAAATACTTAATGATTTAAAAGTAGACCCTCTCAGCTAGACAAAATGGCTTTTAAGAATCTAAAGGGTAGTGTTTCACAGCACCTGACGCTGTCAATAAAGAGAGACCTGTCGTGAAAAGAATGGGGGGTATGGCTGTCATCAATAGATTAGACTATAACTTAATACACAGAAAACCCAGTCTCTTTTAGTTGAAATGTAATAATATACACTAGACTTCACCCTTTAAAGTGTATAATTCAGTGGTTTTAGTAAACTCACAAAGTGTGCAGTCATCACCCGCATCTAATTCCAGAACATTTCATCACTCCAAATGGAAACCCCGTATCTGTTAGCAGTATTTCTTATTTTTCTTTCCGCCATTCCCTAGCAACCACTAATCTACATTTTTTTCCTTCAGCTTTAATGAGGTATAATTAACAAATTAAAATTGTACATATTCAAGGTGTACAACATGATGATTTGATATACATATACATTGTGAAACGATTACCACAGTCTGACATATCCATCATCACACATCTGTGTGTGTGTGTGTGTGTGTGTGTGTGTGTGTGTGTGTGTGGTGAGGACGTTGGTCATTAATCTGCTTTCTGTCCCTATGGATTTGCCTATTCTAGGACATTTCATATAAATTTACTCATACAGTATATGTAATATATGGCCTTTTGTGTCTGGCTTCTTTCACTTAGCATAAGGTTTTTGAAGTTCGTGTTGTAACATGTATCAGTTCCTCATCCCTTTTTTATAGCTGAATAATGTATGAATCTGCTACATTTTGTTTATCCATTTATCAGTTGATGGGCATTTGGGTTGATTCCTTTTTTGGTATTATTAATAATGCTATGAATATTTGCATACAAGTTTGCACATGAGCAAATGTTTTCTGTTATCTTGGGTTTATATGCCTAAGAGTGGAATTGCTGGGATACATGGTGACTCCATGGTTAAGTTTTTGAGAAAATGACAGACTGTTTTCCAAAGTAGCTATACCACTTGACATTCCCACCAGCAATGGATGAGGGTTCTGGTTTCTCCACATTTTGCCAGCTCTTGTCTTTTTTCACAAGAGAATGATATGAAGTAGTATCTCACTGTGGTTTTGATTTGCATTTACCTGATAAGTAATGATGTTAAGCATCTTTTCATGTGTTTTCTGGCCACTTACATATCTTATTTGAAGAAATGTTCACTCAGATCTTTTGACCATTCTTTAATTGGGTTATTTGTCTTTTATTGAATTGTAAGACTTCTTTATATATTCTGGATTCTAGTTTCCAATCAGATATATGATTTGCAAATATTTACTCCCATTCTGTGAGTTTTTTACTTTTTAGTTTAGCTCCTGAATTTAAGTCTATGACCCACTTTGACTTAATTTTTGTATAGACTTAATTTTGTGAAGGGATATAGCTTCTTTCCTTTGCATGTAGATATCCTGTTGTTCCAGCACTATTTAGTGAAAAGATTATTCTTTCCCCATTGAATTTTCTTGGCACCAGAAATCTCAGAAAATTGTAAGAAAATTGTATCACACTGAAAAGAGACCTCCAAATTTCAATGGACAGGAAGCAGGATAAGAAAACTAATCAGTTGTATCCTTGGACTACAGTAAGTCCTCAAGTCATCAGTAGGTTCTTGGAAACTGCAACTTTAAGCAAAATCACATACAGAAGATCTCGAATAAAGTCGTCCAATCTTAGCTGGATTTCAGAATTACTGTGAACTAGTGACTAGTCCCATCTCTTGCAGTTATCCTGTCTCTGCCTCACCATTGTATTTTGGATGTATGGAAGGCAGTTAACTTCGTTTCTGTAGGTCACAATATTGTAGATTTTAAGAAGCCACACCCTAAGAGAGTTATCCCTACCAGATGATCATGAAATATTGACTTTAGCCTGTATTATCTTTCATGTGGAATGAATGAAAATAATTGTGTCCAGAGGGTAAAATATGGTCAAATATAAGCCACAAAGCTTTGAGCTCCTCTCACCAAGAGATGGAATCTGTTCCCCTAGTCCTTGCATCTGAGCTGCCAATGTGACTTTGTTTGACCAGTAGAATGTGGCATAAATGACATGCTGTCATTGAGGACCTTGTAGCTTCTCTTTTGCTCCTGTAGAACCTTGTCCTGCATATAAGGGAGCCACATGAGAGAACTAGTCTAGCCTATTAGAAGGTGAGAGGCCATATGGAAGAGAACAGAGGTTCCCTGACAGCCACGTCAGCTGCCAGGATGTGAGTGAGGCATCTGGGATCTTCAGCCGAGCACATGCTCCAGATAAATACAGCCACATGAGTGAGCCCAGGCAAAACCAGTAAAGAGCTGCCCAGGCAACCCTCAGAATAATGAGAAATAATATGTTGCAGTGTTCTAAGCCACTAGGTTGTGAGGTAGCTTGTTGTACATAAACATTAGCTTCCACTCACATCCAAAAATTCATTGAGAGACCAAGTGCAAGAAGGAAAGTTTCAAAAACTTCATTTATTAAGGCCTTCGTTTGAAGGCCTTAGTTGAAGATAAATGAAATTGCTTACTTTTTGGACTGCGTTTCCCTTTTTCATGAGACCCAGAAAACTTGCAGAGGAAGAAGTTCCTTACTCTCTTGTGCGGGTGAGAATTAGGAAGCAGGAGAGCTACAATTCATTAATGAGGCATTATTCTTAGTGTTTCCTGGAATTGCCTTTGAGTTCTTGGAAGTAAATAGGCTTTATTCATCCAAATAATTATACAGGAAAGTTGCTGAAAATATCGCTGGCTTTGTTTCTTGTGAAGAACAACGTTTTCTTTCAACATTCCCAGGCCCTGATCCAAGCCAAGGCAGAATCACAGCCGTGAGAGCAGGAGTGTCTCCACCTCTGAGATCAGAGTCAGCGGAGGGGCTTTGTCCATGGGATGCCTTTTCCTGACCACGCTGCCAACAGGCAATGGATGGTCTGATTGTGTGTCAGTTTCCTATCCTGCCTCTTGTCCCCATAGGGCTTTCTTATTTTTCACCATCTCCCGCCTCTACCCAGCTCTTCTTGCTGTGACACTGAGCAATGTTCCGTCTATGGACTCTTACACTCTTCCAAGAAAAAGCCTCATTTATGTACAAGGAAAAAAATAATAGAGAATAAAAGTTCAAAAGAGAGGTTCCTGCGGCTTTTCTGTTATCATTCAAATGTGATTCCATACTCTCCTTGGACATGGTTTAGTCATTTTAATGAGGTATTAGAGTTGCTTCCCCCAGTGAAATCAAATTTAGTGTAATTTAGAGGACTGTAGGTGACATGATAATTGATTTCTGGTCACACATTCAAATAGTTCTATTATTCAGGATTTTATAGACAGGTTAAATATATTATTCATCATATCGGAACATTAGTCATAAAAAAGAACCTTTTTTAAAAGGGAATTTTGAAATGCACAGTTAAGAAGTTCATGTAATCTAGAAGGGTATTAAGGTCATACCCATCATCCCTAGTCCCATTTCTCAGCAGTAACTGATAGTAAGAGGCCTTTTTAAATGTATCTTTCCAGACATTTTAATACATGTACAGGCATATTATATGTGTCCATTGTTTCTCAACTAATCAGGCCCAAACACCCCTTCTATAAGCAGTACTTTTAATGTCTCCTTCGCTGTCACAAGGTGGGATTCATAAATAATGGTCTTAGGCCAAGTTTCCTAGAAAGCAAAATCTGAGGCAAGGATTTGTGCTGCTGCTTTATTTGGGAGACACAGAGATGATGAAAAAAGCGGGGGAAAGGCAGGGAAGGCAGGAAAGCAAGGCAAGGTGACATTAGTGCTCATGAGGCCCAGAGAGACACAGTCAACCACTAAGTCAGCATCTTCTCAGCCACATGGGATGTCTCTCAGGATAGAGGGTGTACAGAGAAAGCATGCCTCACACAAGTACATAAAAAGAGGAAGAAGAGGCCGGGTGCAGTGGGTCACGCCTGTAATGTCATTACTTTGGGAGGCCGAGGGAGGCAGATCACTTGAGGTCAGGAGTTTGAGACCAGCCTGGCCAACATGGTGAAACCCTGTGTCTATTAAAACACACACACAAAAATTAGGTGGGGATGGTGGTGTCTGCCTGTAATCCCAGCTACCTGGGAGGCTGAGCAGGAGAATAGCTTGAACCTAAGAGGTGAAAGGGTGCAATGACCTGAGATTGCACCACTGCACTCCAGCCTGGGTGAGAGAGTGAGATTCTGGTCTCAAAAAAAAAAAAAAAAAAAAAAAAAAGAGGAAGAAGAGGATTATTTATTTGTGCTGGCTCCTCCTTGTTACTGACTCCTGTTTGACCCCACAAAGATTTAAATCCTCTATAGTTCTGCCTTGCTCAGGTTATGACCCAGCAACTGCTCTGGAATCCAGCTCCTGTGCCCTGCAGTGTGCTGTCTATCCAAGTCTGGAATTGATGATAGAACTCAGAAATTGAAGTATGTGTCTCCTTTGCCTGGCTGCCTGGCAGCCACCAAACAGAGATGGGAGGGGAGGCAACATTTCCAGGCAAGCAACTGGTTGGCTCTAAGTGGCTAAACACTTAGGTCAAGCAGACCCAGCTATGGTGGTGCCTAAGGTTGTGGTAAACAGCTGGAAGTTTAGGAGACGCCATGATGGCACTGAAGAAATCTGAGGATATACATAGGATGTGTCCTATACAGTAATCTAACCTATACATACTTAGACTTTTAAAAATTGCTATCTCTTAACCATAAGGTAAAATTTTTGGAAAAGCAAAGTAATTATAATAAAACAGTATGCATTTCAATATGGAGATGCTGGAGTATGACTACACTAAAAGACAAAATGAAGTAGTCAGATGTTTGACGTTCACACCAATTAGCCATGACTGAAGTGATGCTAAGTCAGTTGTTTGTAACTCAAGTACCACACAGACTTGTTTTTATAAAATGTTAATACCTTTTGATAATGACCTGAGTAAAACGAAACACAATCTTTTTTTCATATATTTGGTAGTTGCATATCTAGAAAAGTCAGAATATATTGAATCTGTCAAAATGTTTTCATACATAAAAGGTAGTCAGGGTCTAGGCTTGGATTATCAAATAGGTTTTTCACCAACACAAATAACCCAGGACACTCAAAAATTGTGTGGGAAATGGTTCCATTGGATGTACGGCTGTCATTAGCATTATATCTATGAACTCTGGGTCTTGTTCATTAAATGCCAATAATGTGCCCCCTTCCCCCAGTTATTGTGACAACCAAATAGCATTACCACAGACCTCCAAAATGCCCCCATGGGGTGTGTGGAGGGTGTACTTTGACTCTTCTGGAGAGCCATTTAAAAACACAAAAAACGGGAGATATGCACCTCGCAGAGCTCGCACTTAGAGATTTTGTCCATATTAGCACTTAAAGATGGACCATTCTTTGTAACAGTTGCAGAATGTTCAAGCATACTTCTGTGCCAGGATTTATTTAGCTAGTGATAGTCACATTGACTTTTTCAATGGTCTTGTTGCAAGCAACACTGCAGAGATGATCTTTAGACATTCGCCTTTGTGCACTCATAGAGTTATATCTCTAGAGTAAATTCCCACAAGTCAAAAGGTACATGTATTTTTAAATTTGTGTAGATATTGCCAAATTGCTCTCTCAATTATTGCAAGATATCTTACCACTAAGTATTGTAGAAGGTTTTAATCTTGGTAACTGTAGTTCTTTAAAGATGAAAATGAACTTTAAATGCCCTATTGAAAACCATTTTCAGATCATTTTACATTACTTAGTAGTTTCCAGCCTTGACTTGTCTTTTTATATAGGATATTCATGTGGACAGGAAATTGGACTTCCAGTATTTTCTAGGGTAGAACCATGGTCATGACTGAAAGTTAGGCAGATAGAAATTTGTTTTGTTTTATTTTGTTTTGTTTTATTTTAAAGATGGAGTCTCGCTATTTTATCCAGGCTGGTCTCAAACTCTCAAACTCCTGGCCTCAAGTGATCCTCTGACCTTACGTTTTCTTTCAACATTCCCAGGCCATGGTCCAAGCCAAGGCAGAATCACAGCCATGAGGCCAAGCATGAGAGCAGGAGTGTGGCTACCTCTGAGATCAGAGTCAGCGGGAGGGGCTTTGTCCATGGGATGCCTTTTCCTGACCACGCTGCCAACAGGCAATGGATGGTCTGATTGTGTGTCAGTTTCCTATCCTGCCTCTTGTCCCCACAGGGCTTTCTTATTTTTCACCATCTCCCACTTCTGCCAGAAGTTTTGGCTCTAACAGTGTAAGAACTTTCAAACATCTCTACCCATCCAGCAATGGAATGACCTACCTGGGGAGATGAGGTACTTCTCTCCCATACCTGGACATTTTCAATTTCAGGCTGGATGAATAATTTCAAGGGATGTTCAGGAAGAGATTCCTGAGTTTAATGGAATATTATACAAGGTCAGTGTTTCCAAAGATGTAGTACCTGGGCCATGGTGTATGTGTGGGATGACTTTAAGTGGCACAAACTTTAAAAAGTTTTAATTGGTTTATATTAAAAAAGTTTCAATTGGTTTATATTCATTTTTACATGTATATACAATGTTGCTACATTACTAGCAAATCATATACCTTAAGTTAGTACTGTTGAAATAATAGGGTAAAGAAAACTTTTTACAGTTTGAATCTTCTGGAAACATCAAAGGACGACTGTCCTTGCCATCCACACTACAACAAAAACTTTGGGACCTTGAGCTTTAGGTTCGTGGTCTTGCAACTGAGAAGGGTCCCGCCACACTTTTGGAACTGTGCACCCATTGGAACCCCTGAGAGACCATCAAGCTTCAGGTGATCGTGCAACAAAGGCTCCAGCCAGTTCCAGGTGAAGACATCGCCCCTGGCCATCAAGAAACTACCCTGCTTCCACTAGATAGAGCAGCGTGAGAGAGAGTTCCGTGATTCCCGATAGGTAGAGACTACGCCTCAAGTCAGCATGAAGCAGTTACAGAAAAAAACACCATCGGTCCGTCTGCCTCCCATAAAGATTTATGAGGATCACATCTCTAAGTGGAGAGATGAGGCAGGAAAATAGAGTCTGGAGGCAGAGAACATAAGGCTAATTCACACTTCAGCTGTAACAGGAAATAGCCTCTCCATAGGGCATACACCTTGTAACTTTACTTCATCCTCTTCATTTACATAGGACGTACCCCAAGTAGAGGGTATTTAAACTCACAAAAACTCTGTAACAGAGCCTTTGACCCCCTATGCTCAGGCCTACGCTGTGGAGTGTACTTTCGTTTTCAATAAAGCCCTTCATTCCTTCAAAAAAAAAAAAAGAAATAAATAATAAACTTTGGGCTAAAATATGGTTGAGAGCCTCTAAGATCTCTTCAAAATTGTGATTCTATGGTTCTAAATTTAATCTTAATATTACTAAAGTTTCAACTAGGAAAAAGACTTTGAAACCCCAGTCCATGACGTTTATTACAAGCAACTTAAACACAAACCAAATTTTAGTACAACAGAGAAGTTGTGTATTTGGAGCTTGGTGTATGTGTCAAATCCCATGAAAACTTAGTTAAAAATGGGAGCCCTAAGCCCTGGGTGAAGACCCATCCTGAAACTATATTCAACTTAATAATTTGGGGACAATATTAATATTTTAGGGATCTGTTAAACTTTGCTGCAGTGGGAAAAAGAAAAAACACTTTTTTTTTTTTTATCCGAGATGGAGTCTTGCTCCTGTCACCCAGGCAGGAGTGCAATGGCATGATCTCGGCTCCCTGCAACCTCCGCTTTCTGGGTTCAAGCGATTCTCCTGCCTCAGCCTCCAGCTGAGATTATAGGCACGTGCCACCAGGCCTGGCTAATTTTTGCATTTTTAGGAAAGACAGGGTTTCATCATGTTGGCCAGGCTGGTCTCAAACTCCTGATCTCAGGTGATCTGCCCGCCTCAGCCTCCCAAAGTGCTGGGATTACAGGCATGAGCCACTGTGCGCAGCCAAACCTATATATTTTTAAATGAATTCAGAAAAGTAAAAATAAGTGAACACACAAATGTGTTGCTGGTGGCATCCCCCTTATCCTTCAGCACTTGATGGAAGAGAATAGCAAGACTTGCCTTCATACTCCCATGCTCTTCTATGAGTATTGTAAAACCACTGTCCAGGTCACCGTATTGTATATTTAGAATATCATATAAACTTCTGCACTGGAAATCAGAGGTGAATATTTATTTAATTCATATATAAATTTTACATAATATTCATGGTGCTATAAATATAGGCACATTTTTTTTTAAGTCCAGATACATCCAAAAATTACCCCCTCACTGTAGCCTCCTACTGTAATCCCCTCAAGATGGAATATCTAATGCATTTGTAACACAGGGGCCAGAAAGGCCCTGCCCATTAATTTTAAAACTTTCTGACCATCAAAACCACTCTTTCCTGCTTCAACCAAGCAGAGTCAACAAGGAACATGTGTTTTCAGGGTTTTAATTGCACTAGTTGATGAATTAAGTAAATGCCTCTGCCTGGGTAGTTTGTAATAGGTTTATGGTTTGGTTTCTCCTACTTAGTTCAAGTAAGAGAAAGAAAAACCAGTATCTATATTCTTATTGGCCATCTTTAAATCCCTATGAGATGGCTTAAAAGGATGTCACCGCACCAGGGGACTCAACCACATCTACTGACAAATAGGCAGCTTCCCATAAAGTACAGATTAAAACATCATTCATTTATATTGGTTTTCATTTGGGGACAAACATTGTAAATTTAATAATTCATGGGATTGAGCACAGAGCAAATTGGACAAAAAATTGATTCATTGACTGTACCCAAGCATGATCCAGACATACGAGTTTGTGTCATACACACCAGCACACATCAGGCAAGATTAAAATCTACAGTGTAAAGTCATTGTAACTTGAATTCAAAATGAGAAAAAAATGAATATTGGAAATTGATTCATTAGAGCCTCTCTATTATGATACATTTTAACTTGGGGGGAAAAATGATTCATATACACAATTATCTTAGTCAAATTTTCTATTTCTTGCTAATAACATTTTAATTTACTCCAGAAAATGCATTAATTTTATTCAAATATATTTTCCTAAAATATAAATAATTAAATGTTTATAAATGTAGAGAATGTAGTTTCCATTGACCCTCACACAGATATTAATCAGTCCAAAACTTAAGTGATAAGGAAATCATATTTGTAATTATGATCATTTTAATTTGTCTATAAATATATAATAGAATCTTGGCAACTTAATTATGAGCAGTTAACTCATACTTCATGTAGAACCGAGCACCTTAGATTACATATTGTTGAATTTAACTATTGGCATTAATATATGTATTTTAATATGTTATTTACAATACACAATTATAATTCTCTTGTATAACAACATTCCAGTGATTTTGAAAATATATAGTGAAAGTGCAATATAATTTACAAATGCATCAAAGCTTTTCTATAGTATTCAAGCTGGGACTTGACTTTTCAGCATTTGAAAATAGAAACAAACAAAAAGTCAATATCCTAAAGCTGTGTTTTCTAAAGCATTAAAAAAACAAAACAAAACCCACTAGCTTCACAAGATGCTCCATTAGAAAGGAGTCCCGTAGGTAAGTGTGAGAAATGGCTCACCAGATTTCCCCTTGAAGAATCACAATGAACTTTAAAATCTTCAAGGAGGCAATTGTGAAATCTGTTTAACATTTTTCAGCTCAGTCAAGTGTATTAACAAACCCCTACCTCCCCCCAGCAAAACACCACTCGGTCAAGCCCCTTAGAACCTAGCGTCATATGATATATTCTTTGGGGAAATGCTGATTTAAAATAAAACTTTGCAATTCAATAAACAAATATGTCTGAGTGAGTAAAATCATGTTCCTTTAGCACGGTTTCACTTTTTGAAGCTCTTTGCATGGGTATTCGTTAACGTATGATTCTTTAAAACACACAGGTCTAACAATAGATGTCTGTCTGTGTAAACTACAGGAAAAGTGTTCGAAATGTTTATAGAGATCCTAGAGCTCATTTTCAAAGTTTGAGAAAAGTGACTTCAAAATCAATAGGTGTATTTTTTTTGTATTTTTCCGGGCGTGGTGGCGGCGCCTGTGGTCCCAGCTACTCGGGAGGCTGAGGCAGGAGAATGGCGTAAACCCGGGAGGCGGAGCTTGCAGTGAGCTGAGATCCGGCCACTGCACTCCAGCCTGGGCGACAGAGCCAGACTCCGTCTCAAAAAAAAAAAAAAAAAATCAATAGGTGTTATTTTTAGCGAATTTGATTTGAAAGATAAAAGCAAAAGCATTAAATCAGTAATGTGCTATGTCTGAAAATATTCCTGTAAAAAAATATCAGGTCGTTATATTATTTCCCTGGAATTCTGAAAGGACTGCAGATATTATCAATAGATTTGATTATAGCAGTCAGTCTATATGTAAAACCCAGCATTGTCCAGAATTAAATGAGGCTGCTCTATTACTTGCTTGAAAATGCATGCATACAAGCACAGGCAAAAACAAGGGTCAGTAAGTTGCTTACTATTTCCACTGAAAACCATGAAATAGGGATAATTAGTTAACTCCAACAATGTGAGTTTTATATGTGTATCAGATGACAATCTTTTCTGAAAAAATACCCATAATTCACTCTCTATAAATAAAGCTGTAATTCTTGGCTACAAGACAGCAGATCTTGGTGTGAGTGTAGTCCCAGAATTAATAATCCTTTGTGCATACAACTCTTTAGCAAAGCTTATCAATTTAAGCAGTCTACTTTGGCTCAGATTCTACTAGCTTACAGCTCAGATCAGTATCTGATGCTTTATTTAATTCCTGCTCAGTATATGCTAATGGGGACACTTTGGAATCATTCTACACTATTGAAAGATAATTCGTGTTTAAAAAGTAACAGCTGCTTCATACTTAAATAGAAGGTGGGTTTCTATTTGAAATATATTTTCCTACAAGTGAAAGTCAACTCAGCAAGAATTAGGAAATAAATCACAATAAAAAAAGGGATCATTGTTACTGGGCATAGGGGCTAGGAGGAGTAGGTAAAAATGTCCATTTCTCAACTATTTGGGCCTTGTGTACCTGGTGAACCAGTTACCTAGGAACTGGGATGATTAAGATCTGCACATGCTGTTCTAATGGTCATGTCCTTGTTGTCATTATTTCAAAGCTATGCTGTGTGTTTCCCATCACCTCACTTCTTTAACCTTGTACTGTTCTAGAAAGTTTTACTCTGATATTTCTCACGGTACTTTCGCAGGGTATCCCTTGTAGTTGCTGAAACTGATAGAGGAGTCTGGGACAGTTACATATGACTCTTGAGAGCTAAAGCTGACTGTAGCACGCTACATCTGGTGCACTGCTCACTACAGATGGTGTCTGATGTCACGTTCTCTGGTGGCATTGCAGCCCTTCTTTTCTCAAAGGCAAGTCGCCCCTGTCTTCAGGCCACCAAGCCCAGTCTTGTAATCTTAGCTGACAGGAAGGAATGAATGATGAAAACAATTGGTTTGGGGCAGGAATGAAGGTCCAGTTGCTGAAATTTAAAAAGAAGAGAGCATGAGCGATTTTAAATTAATGCTTGATGTAGATGAGTGATTTGCACATCAAATGAATCTATATGCACTTCCTGCTTTTAAGTGTTGATTGGAGCAATTATGCTCTAAAATCATTGCCCCTCCATCAGAGAAATGCAAATCAAAACCACAATGAGATACCATCTCACACCAGTTAGAATGGCAATTATTAAAAACTCAGGAAACAACAGGTGCTGGAGAGGACGTGGAGAAATAGGAACACTTTTACACTGTTGGTGGGATTGTAAACTAGTTCAACCATTATGGAAAACAGTATGGTGATTCCTCAAGGATCTAGAACTAGAAGTACCATATGACTCAGCCATCCCATTACTGGGTATATACCCAAAGGATTATAAATCATGCTGCTATAAAGACACATGCACACGTATGTTCATTGCGGCACTATTCACAATAGCAAAGACTTGGAATCAACCCAAATGTCCATCAGTGACAGACCGGATTAAGAAAATGTGGCACATATACACCATGGAATACTATGCAGCCATAAAAAAGGATGAGTTTGTGTCCTTTGTAGGGACATGGATGCAGCTGGAAACCATCATTCTCAGCAAACTATCGCAATAACAGAAAACCAAACACTGCATGTTCTCACTCATAGGTGGGAACTGAACAATGAGATCACTTGGACTCGGGAAGGGGAACATCACACACCAGGGCCTAAGATGGGGAGGGGGAAGTGGGGAGGGATTGCATTGGGAGTTATACTTGATGTAAATGACTGGTTGATGGGTGCTGATGAGTTGATGGGTGCAGCACACCAACATGGCACAAGTATACATATGTAACAAACCTGCATGTTGTGCACATGTACCCTAGAACTTAAAGTATAATAATAATAAAAAAGTAAAAATAAAATAAAATAAAATAAAATCATTGCCCTTCAATGAGATAAAGGAACAACTCTTTGAACTTATTCCTTACATCTCATATCTTTTTTCCAAAATAGGTCCTGTGAAATTTAGATATACGAATACCATAAATATTGATGTTGTCCTTCTTCACTGTCTAAGCCATTTATTTTTGGTACCACAATAGTGAGTGATATTCATTCATGTTGGATTTGATACAGTATGAAGCAGTACTAAATTTCACATCTGAAGATTAGGTTTGAATCCTGGTTCTGATGCTTTTCATACGTACAATCTTGGATAAGTCTCTTAAAATTCTTCTCAGTCTTACTAATTCACAGTCATTTGAGTATTAATGGAGCTACTATATGTGAAACTTCCTCATAAACTAAAACACAGAACCCATGCTAAGCAGCTGTGTTGTCACCATCCTCAGTCTTGAACTGTTTAAGCACGTATGCCACATCTCTGGGAAGGCACCATCTGAAGTCTTATGCCTCTTGATGTGTTCCTTGAGAACCTGGCACACGCAAGACATACAGTCTGAGCAGGAGAGTCCTTCAGAAGTTGAATTTTATCACCTGACCTAATTTAGGGAAATTGGGAGAGCTGTTCTCAATTCTCTTCTGCTGTCCCCAGTTTTGTTCTGATGATGACAATGTTGGAGAATCACAACCACCTGAGCATATTATAGCTACCAAAGTTAAGGTGGTACTCATTATGAGCCAGGTACTGTGCTAAATATCTTCTATCCACTATCTTATTTAATTCTCTCTCACAGCATGACGATGAGGAAGCTATTGTTATTATCTCCATTTTTTTATATAGGGAAACTAAGATTCAGGGAAGTTATGAAACTTTCTAAAATATAGATCTTACAGTAAATGAAAAGCACGGACTCTGTCTAATGCCAGAGCCAGGGCTTAACCACAACATTCTATGTCACTAACACAGAAGGAAACTTTTGAAAGAGACATTAAAGATTAGCTACTTCAATCCGTGTATTTTATGGATGGGAGACTGAGATAGAAAGCAATGAAAGGACTTTCCCAAGAGAGTTGGTGAGTTTGTTGCAGACTCAGAAAGAGAACACAGGTCTTGACCCTCAGTTTATTGCATTTCCTACAGCTCATCTCTGCTCTCTTCCCCCTCCACACTGGGAAGGTCTGTGGCCCACTTCCAGGATTGCTTAAACAGACATAGGGGGTAGAGGGGAAGGAGGCTGTGTCTGAATTTGAGCTTGTCAACTAAATGTACTGGCAGTAAAAATCAGTTCTTCCTAAATCTTCCAAGTCAGGCTGTAATTACAGGCAGAAAGGCTGAAATTTAGACATAAGTGATTTTCCTCATGGGCAAAAATAGCCTTGAATTTTTAAGCCAAGGATAAAGCAGGAGACTGATTCTTGTTCTTTTCCACTTTGCTAGAGAGTAGTCGCCTTTAGGAAAAGGCACACGATGGGTGATTGATAGAGCAGCAACTGAATTAGAAATATTCTTAGTAAAATGGACTTTCAAGTCACTACTTTATTTCCAAGTGGGTGCCTCACACTGAACCTACTGATTGAAACATACAAACAAACAAACATTTGATAAAAATTCTGTAGATCCATTTTAAAAGTTAGAAAAATGCTTGGCTAGAAATAACTCTCAGAAAGTGAATGTCAGCAAACCAAGTGTCAGCCACAGGGAATGGCCTCCATCGTGGCTGCCTATGGCACTCATGGCAAGAAATCTGGTACTGTCTTGGTACCAGAAGTATGGCATCATTTAGAAGAGTGGGGCTGCAATTTTGAGATAAAAAGTCCCTACGGTCTGTTAAGTGTGTTCTGCCGTTTTCTTCCTGAAAGCCAACAAATTCATTGAGTAACCCAGTGGCTAGGGAGGACCTAAACAGAGACTAGTCATCACAAAATCAAAGTCCTCTTTGAAGTTCTACATTTGACAGCCTAAATGAGATGCTATGTTTTCCTGAAATGCCAAGGATGACACTTGCTAGCTAGAGAGTATAAGAATGTGCAATTCTCACCCTTCTGTGCAAGTGAAGTCATATACTTTTTCATTATGGCAGGCAGAAACCATCTCAGGAAATGATGAATTTCAACGCATGGACTACTTGCATTGAGATGAGACATATGTTACTTTCACGGATAAATTTGCTAATTTTGTTGCATATTGTTTGACATCAGCTCCATGCTTCTGTGCCCTCCTCTGGCCCTCTCTCCACTCCAGTGGAGTTGATCAGTTTCTTTTCTTTTCCTGCTGCCCTCTTGCTCTGCTCCTCATCTGGCCCCTCCTGTCTCTCTGCTCTCTGTTCTCTCCTCGGAGACTTCCCTGATAGTAGGGACCATGTATTTTAGTTCGCTGCATCCCTAACATCTAGCACAATGCCAAGGTTATATGAGATGCTTGATACTTTTTAAAACTGCAGGGTACATTTTTTAAGCTGGTGAGACCCTATTTGATAAGAATTTAATCTAGTTTTATAAAGGAAACTTTCCTTTGACTCAAATATTTATGTAGTCTTCTAATGGAAAATGAGACCGAAGAAAAGAACTTTGAAATAATTGAACCTAATCGCTGTATTTCAAGGATCAAATAAAACATGGGCTTGCAAGTACATCATTAGCAGTCAAATGCTGAATAAGAGTAAGGCAGCATTCTGTTGCATAATGAAATATTAATATATGAAATCACATGGTCTAAAGAAAAGTACCCTTACAATCTCTCCATCTTTGCCTCCAAAATCTAAATACAGCATCCTGATTCCATCATCTGAAGACATTTTGAGCTTTTCATAAGGAGACTGTATGATGGTCTTGGGAAAGGCACCCTCCTGTGGTTCAGTGGTAATAGAAAATCCATTCTCATAATGTATGGTCAAACGGCACTCCTGGTTTTTGTAGGTGCAAGCTGAGAGAGAAAGAGAGAGAAACAGAGAAAAAGAGACAAGTATGAACCATGGCGATCAATCCATTTTCCCAATCACTCACTTCATGCCTCCTCAGTCCCAGCGATCAGCTACAAATTTCTTACTAAAATAAAAATATAGTCATTTTTCATGAAAATATTCTCTTTGGATTTATTTTGGTGTTGTAATTTTAAAAGCCCCATAAAATTAAGGAAAAAAATGGGAAGAAATTCCTTTTGTTGGGATCTACTGAATGTTATCTGCGTTCTAGTCCCTATCTAGCCATCTAACAACACACAGGTCTATAGGTGTACTTGCCTTCCAACAGCCCTACAGGGCTTGTCTCAAGCCAGAAAAAACAGAACTTTGATTTAAATAAGGCCAGCAGGCGCACTGGCTCACACCTGTAATCCCAACTTTGGGAGGCCGAGGCGAGCAGATCACTTGAGGTCAGGAGTTCGAGACCAGCCTGGCCAATATGGTGCAACCCCATCTCTACTAAAAATACAAATATTAGCCAGATGTGGTGGTGTATGCCTGTAGTCCCAGCTACTCTGGAGGCTGAGGCAGGAGAATGGCTTGAACCCAGGAGGCAGAGGTTGCGGTAAGTCAAGATCGCTCCACTGTATTCCAGCCTGGGTGACAGACCAAGACTCTGTCTCAAAAAAAAAAAAAAATTTTTTTTTAAATGAATAAAGACACCTTTGAATCACCATCCTTATCATCATCATCAACACACACACACACACACACACACACACACACACAAATGATATCTACCACCTGGTGAAAGAAGACAGCATACACCCATGATATTATCAACGTTAACTAATGTAAATACGTAAGTCAGGAATGAGTAGTTTAGAAATAGTCTAATATTTAATAGTCTAACAAATCTCATTTTAGAAATTGAGAGGGGTGCTCTTTTAATTTCCCTGATGATCTTGGATCCTGGAAAAGCTGCTCTTGCTGACAGACCTCAGATGTGGCATCTTCCATGAAGAGCACCCCGGGTGTGGCATCCAGGAATCTCAGGGGTGGCATCCACATGGTGCCCTCTGATCCAAAGGCACAAAGCAAAAACCTCTTGAGCAGGTGCGCTGCCAGCTTTTACCTGGGATTCTCACTATGTTTAGGAAAAGCGTCCTGCTCTTTAAGCTTATGGGCGGGCTGGGCACGGGAACTGCCACAGCATCCTAACTCCTATTTAGGAAGACTCGTGAATGTTTAAAACTCTTGATCAAAGAGTTCTGAAAAAGGTTATTACAGATCAGATTGGATTTTTTTTGCTTCACAAAACACCACATTTAACAGACCCTGACAAGTAAATTGGCTAAGGTTTTGATCTACATCTAAAAGTTCTGCAGGGAAACCAGGACACTCCCTGCTGGGGGTGGGGCTTGGAGGCGTAAGAGCAAGGGCTTTACTGATTGAGAACTTGCTGTACATCATTTGCTCCACGCAATGGATTTATTTTGGTGTTGTAATTTTAAAAGCCCCATAGAATTAAGGAAAAAAAAAAGGGAAGAAATTCCTTTTGCTGGGATCTACTAGTCCCTATCTAGCCATCTAAGAACACACAGGTCTATAGGTGTACTTGCCTTCCAATGGCCCTGTAGGCCTTGTCTCAAGCCAGAAAAAACAGAACTTTGATTTAAATAAGGCCAGCAGGCACACTGGCTCACACCTGTAATCCCAACTTTGGGAGGCCGAGGCGGGCAGATCACTTGAGGTCAGGAGTTCGAGACCAGCCTCGAACTTCTGAAGCCTGAACACAGCCCGATATTATAGGTGGAAAAAGGAAAGCTCAGAGACATGAACACGTCACCAGTCCAGGTTGTTTGGCTTTCAAAATTCAAGTTCTTTGCACTCTGCCCTGTGTTCCTTCTGGGTCTGGCACTCAGGACAAGGAGGGATGTGGAGAAGGAGCTGGGCACAGAATTGCTCAACTTTCCTACCTCACGATAATGACAGTAGGTGGGGAGGCCTTCAAAGTTTTGGGGAAGAAATAGAGATCTCCATTGCTCACAGAATGCGGTGGATTTTAATCAGAGCTCTGATTAAAACATATGCCCTTTCTCCTGACTGACTTGCAGATATCTTTCGACTTGTAACTAGGGCTCATCTTTTCCTCTAACAGGTCTATAACTCCTTCTGGGAACAGTCCCTGAACCCTGCCCTCTGCCAGCCCTCCCATTCAAGGATGTCCAAGGACAGTGGCACAGAGATTGTACTGATAGCACTGCCTCCCCATCTGTAATCCCAGCTACTTAGGAGGCTGAGGCAGGAGAATTGCTTGAACCCGGGAGGTGGCGGTCGCAGTGAGATCTCGCCATTGTACTCCAGCCCAGGTGACAAGAGCAAAACTCCACCCACCCCCCAAAACAAAAAAGTTTGTTTTTCAAAGTATGAAACTACTGACACATTAAATGCCTGGCATATAGCAGGTCTTTAATACATACTGTACTATAGAAGCGTTCTTCCTTCCACACACATCTCCCGTTTCTACCACCGACTTGCCCTTTCAAAGAGCTCTGTGTGGGTGTGGCCTGTACTCACTCAGCACTTCCATTCTGTCTCTGCCTCTTCATTCACACCAGGGCAGGGGCACCGGTCACTCTTCCCAGAACTGTACCTTTGCTCTGCTTATCGCCACCACGATGCCTTTGGCTCCTGCTCTTTTTTACTGCCCTGGGTCTCTAGTTGATATGGTTTGGATGTTTTATTCCCTCCAAATCTCATGCTGAAATGTAATCCCCGGTATGGAGGTGGGGCTTGGTGGAAGGTGTTTGGGTCTTGGGGGTGGATCCTTCATGAATAGCTTGGTTCCCTCCTCCTTTCAGTAAAGAGTGAGCTCTTGCTTTGAATTCATGAGAGACCTGATTGTTTAAAATAGTGCGGCACTTTCCTCTCCTCTCTCTCTCTCTCCTGTCTTCCATTGCCAAGTGATATGCCAGTTCCCATTTGCCTTCCATCATGATGGGAAGCTTCCTGAGGCCCTCACCAGAAGCAGATGCCAGGACCATGATTCCTGTACAGTCTGTAGAACTGGGAGCCAAAGTAAACTTCTTTTCTTTATAAATTACCCAGCTTCAGGCATTTCTTTATAGCAGGCCAAACAGACTCACACACCTGTTTTCTGATCAATCCTATTAACTGCCTAAGATATTTCCAATAATTTTATTCTGTGATAGATTACTCAGAATCAGTTTCTGCTGTTTGTAACCAAGAACACTGCTCATTCATGCCTCAAAGTTCATTCCTCCAGGAAGCCACCCAGAGGTTATAGGTGGGAGAACTGTAACCGACTATCCAATTTACCAAAATTTATTGAATGAAGATAGGATACGTCTTTTTATAATCAAAGCTCTAGGTTACATTTTAGTAGGGCATAGACTTCCTTAATGTAGAAGAATTTAAATTTGCTTCTGGAATTTTAACTATCCCCAGAGGCCAGTGATGAAAACTACTTTAAGGCCACAGTGGAGTAGAGGGCTCATCTTCCCCTAACAGTGTGTCCTCGGTAGCCCACTGCAGTACTCACCAGTGCTGATTTCAGCAATGAGTTCGGCAGAATTGTGGCAACCCTGTACTATGCTCCTTGTCCAGTGGGAGAGGTCCCTGCTGGTCTCTGCTCTGAAGAGATGTGTTTCAATCCCTTGCCTGGTACCAGTTCGCGTTGCAAAGGACAAATCCACACCAGTCTGGGGTGATCCCTTCCCTGGACCTGAATGGACCAGCCTGGAGAAAGAGAGAGAGAATGTCAGAGAGAGAGAGAGAGATCATCAAAATGGAGACTAGTTTATTCACCTGGCATATCACCTTATATAAGACCCAAATTGGTGATCTGCTCTCATTTTTCTGGACTAGAATCAAAGGGCTCCACTCTACCCTGCTCTTCTGCCATCTCCTCTCCAATGGTAACATGAGGTTAAGATAGCACCCAAGAGCTGGACATCTGGACGAATATGCAAGGGAGTTCAATAACATGACTTTAATTTGTGCAAGTTCAACTATAAGGAAAAATAAATAAATATGAGTGAGAAAATAAATTAAATACTGTGTAAAATTCTCTCCAGCATTCCTTTCCTGAGCATCTATATGTCCCAGCACAAGCATGAAACAAGACTGAGAATCTATTATTTCCTGGGTTAGGCTTCACTTTCCTGTGTCTCTTGTAGTTTGAAACGTCGGGCTGCATTGAATGTACTTCTAGGTGTGCAATTTTTCATGCATGTAGCCCCTAAATGCAAACAAACAAGCTGGAACTCAGTTGAGGCAATAGCACTGGTGTATTTGATAAAGCTCAAGGAAGAACTGGCAATGCTGGACTTCTTGAGAAGCAGTATGGAACTGCACTTTAGGGGAGATTTTCAAGAGAGATTTTTACCACCCAAGATTTTCACACTGACTTTTGAACTTACACTCAGCGTAAAATGTGACTTCCATAGTAAATATTTTCTGAAAGACCAGACTTGAAAGAGGAAGAATCAAAGTGCTCTGAGGGCCACCTTCGGAGCAGGGGCTAGGTCCTACTTCTTATTCATTGCTTTTGAACACTGGGATCTTTCATCCTCTCTCCTATGCCTCGATATCTCAATCTCCTTTTGGGAGAGACTTTTAAATCAATCATTTGCAGGATAGCATAAGTCTAATTTAGTAAATGTGACTTCTCTCTAGGGTATTTGCATTTTAAGTCTCATCTTTTAATCCAGAAAGCAACACTTTACAATTTGCTAGAGAAATGCCAGGTGTCTAACCACATGGTGGATGCAAGAGTTATTTTCTTAGGCAAAAGGCTTGTTACCCCTAGATTAAAATTGCACAGAGGAAATACAAAAGCTTATGTTCTCTTATAAACCTAAATACTGCAGGAACAAAATTATCAGTAGAATAAAGCAAATTATTACCTGTTGAATTTCTGGCAACAAGTTTGTTGTATAACTTGAAGGAGCTTTCTTTTACTTACAAAGTTAAAATTAGGCAGGAGGGGTGGTTTGCAAGGCCGACTCAAAGAAAAAGGGTATTTGAAAAGTCTTTAGGTTGAAAGAGTCATTAAAGATATGAAAGGCCAGGCACGGTGCCTCACACCTGCAATCCCAGCACTTTGGGAGGCTGCGGCGGGCAGATCACCTGAGGTCAGGAGTTCAAGACCAGCCTGGCCAACATGGGAAACCCCTTCTCTACTAAAAATACAAAAATTAGCCCGGCATGGTGGCATGCACCTGTAGTCCCAGCTACTCGGGAGGCTGAGGCAGGAGAATGGCTTGAATCTGGGAACCAGAGATTGCAGTGAGCTGAGATCGCACCATTGCTCTCCAGCCTGGGCAACAGTGTGAGACTCTGTCTTAAAAAAAAAAAAAAAAAGGTATGGCAGTTCCATGAATCTCATTGAGAGTAGTCTAGGACAGTGTGAAGGGAAATGGCTGCTGGCATGGGTGCCCACACACGGGGATTTAACATGTAGAGATTAAGCCCAATTCATTCAGGAGGGAGGAGGGCATTTTGTAATAAGTGAGTCAGAGTCACTGAGAAGCTGCTAGAGGATTCAAATGAAAGTGAGGCTAAAGAAAACAGAAAGCATTTCTCTGAAGCCTACCTAGCATAGGCTTTAAAGGGATTGAGGGTAAGGTAAAAATTCATTAAGAAAAGGTATCTACAAGGAGCAAGAATGTATATGTATACTGTGTTTTCTTATTTGCTCAAAAGTGTTTGTATTTCAAAATAAGTTTTTAGACTTGAAAGTGCTTAAGTTTTGGGCCGGGCGCGGTGGCCCAAGCCTGTAATCCCAGCACTTTAGGAGGCCAAGGGGGATGGATCACGAGGTCAGGAGTTCAAGACCAGCCTGGCCAAGATGATGAAACCCCATCTCTACTAAAAACACAAAAATTATCTGGGCATGGTGGTATGCACCTGTAATCCCAGCTACTTGGGAGGCTGAGGCAGAAAACTGCTTGAACCTGGGAGGCAGAGGTTGCAGTGAGCTGAGATCGCGCCACTGCGCTCCAGACTGGGTGACAGAGTGAGACTCCATCTCAAAAAAAAAAAAGAAATGAAATTGCTCATGTGAGGTGCCATGGTGTAATGGTGAGCACTACATACTCTGAATCCAGAAATCAAATAGCCCACCCTGCCTTTTTGAAATTTTAACATCTGTATCAGCTGAGTACAGCTGGCAGGCTGCATGTTAAGCTGAAAAAGGACATAGGTTTGGGAGGCATACGAAACTGTATTAGAACCCCATTCTGTCTGACATTTGTTAAACTTTTTAAGAATCACCACTTCTTAAAAAGTAAGGTCATGACCATCCTGGCTAACACAGTGAACCCCTATCTCTACTAAAAATGCAAAATATTAGCTGAGTGTGGTGGCCTGTGCCTGTAATCCCAGCTACTTGGGAGGCTGAGGCAGGAGAATCGTTTGAACCCGGGAGACAGAAGTTGAAGTGAGCCGAGATCGCACCACTGCACTCCAGCCTGGGCGTCAGAGTGAGACTCCATCTCAAAAAAAAAAAAAAAAAAAAAAAAGTAAGGTTGTGTTGTGAAGATTAAATAACCAATGCTCTGTACCTATCACAGAAACTAGTATATGGTTTGTGCTCCCTTCTTACCCCTACCCTTAGTTTCCTCATTTAAAAAATATAATACCTACCCCATAGGATTAGGATTAAATATAGTAAAGTATACAGAGCACTTCGTTCAGTATCTAGAACATTATAGTCAGCATTCAGTAAAAACTGGTTCCCTTCTTCCTTCCCTGGCCTAACTTGTTCTCATTTTCCATACCCTAAATTTCCATCCAGAGGACATCAAGTCTGTCACGATCCAGAGCCAGCATAAATATATTGTAGAGGCAGAAGCAAAGTGAGAAAAAGATATGCCACTCTCATGGAGAATCCTAGGAGTTTCTGTGAATTTCCTACCAATATTTATTAGACTATAAAATTGAAATAAATAATAACTGGGAAAATGCATTTGTTAGAAAATCCACATTTGGTAGCTCAGGGTATGAGGAATGGAATTACTAAGAGAAAGGAATGAGGTCTGAGAAAGCCTGGAACCAAGCTGACCGATACCCTGAACAGGGAGAGCTTGATGGGAAGACCAGTGTGTTCGAGAAGTAATAATGAAGAAGGTTTTCTATTTATTTATTTAATAAATAAGAGAGTCTTGCTCTGTCACTGAGGCTGGCATGCAGTGGTGTGATCTCGGCTCACTGCAACCTCCACCCCCTGGGTTCAAGCGATTCTCTGTCTCAGCCTCCTGAGTAGCTGGGATTACAGGCGCGCACCACCACATCTGGCTAATTTTTGTATTTTTAGTACAGATGGGGTTTTGCCATGTTGGCCAGGCTGGTCTCGAACTCCTGACCTCAGGTGATCTGCCTGCCTTGGCCTCCCAAAATGCTGGGATTACAGGCAAGAGCCGCCGCACCCGGTCAAAGGAAGCTTTTAGAGCAGCAGTGCCAATCTTTTTGGCACCGGGGACTGGTTTCCCCATCTTTCGGGATGGGGTGGGGAATTGGTGATGGGTGGGAGGTGGAGGGGAGGATGGTTTCGGGATGATTCAAGTGCATTACATTTATTGTGCACTTTATTGCTATTATTATTACGTTGTAATATATAATGAAATAATTATTCAACTCTCCATAATGTAGAATCAGTGGGAGCCCTGCACTTATTTTCCTGCACACTAGATGGTCCTATTTGGGGACAATGGGAGACAGTGACAAATCATCAGGCAATAGATTCTCATAAGGAGCAATAGGGTTTGAACTCCTGCGAGAATCTAAGGCTGCTGTTGATCTGACAGGAGGCAGAATTCAGGCGGTAATGCGAGCAATGGGGAGTGCTGTAAATACAGCTTTGCTTCCTAGCTGCTCATCTCTGCTGTGTGGTCCCGTTCCTAACATGCCACAGACCGCTACAGGTCCACGGCCTAGGTCCTGGGGACTCCTGTTTTACAGGAAGGGCTGCTGATGTTCTGTGTTATTCATCTCATCATAAAACTCTCATTGATTAATAAAAAGAGGGAAGAGGAAAATTGATTTTTCAACTAACCAAGTGTAAATTCTCTTTTACATTAAAGAACCTGGATTTGCCATCTGAGGAACAGCAGACATGTTGAATTATGTGTCCTTTTGGATATGCTGATATTGGCTTAATGAAACGTACAGTACTGTATGTAAACTCTGAGATAAAGCAAATTGTCTTTTCACTACCTAGTGGGTATGCTGTAATAAAAGGATACTTTTCCCAGATAAAACTCAAGTGAAATACATCAGCTATCTGCTGTATCCATATGTGTGCATGTCCTCTGGATGCAGTATTACACACCTTGAAATTATAAGTACTATGTGTAAATGTGGGAAAATGCATCTATATTATGGAAAAGCTCTGTAAATGTAACTCAAGGATGTTAAAGAAAAGCTTGAAAATAAATCCATTAAAATGTAGAGTAATTTTATGGCTGATTTTATGTCTTCTTTTTAAAAAATTCTTAAAATTTTCTCTAAGAGGCTGGACATGGTGTCTCACGCATGTAATCCCATCACTTTGGGAGGCTGAGGCGGGTGGTCATGTGAGGTTAGGAGTTTGAGACCAGCCTAATATGGTGAAACCCCGTCTCTACTGAAAAGATAAAAATTAGCTGGTTGTGGTGGCACGTGCCTGTAGATGCAGCTACTCAGGAGGCTGAGGCAGGAGAATCGCTTGAACCTGGGAGGCAGAGGTTGCAGTGAGC